ATGATAGTTTCCATATGTATAAAAAAAGGTATGTCTAACACAAGAAATGTTGTAAATCATATAATCTTAAACTTAAACATTGCCCTATAAATTCGTTTGGATATGTACAAACAAATTTAGCAAGTCATAATTAAAATATAACTATTTGGAATTATATAAAATTGGAAACGTGAATTATACATAAATCCCTTCAAACCCCAAGTGACCCCACACCGACACCGGCCGTCTATTAAAGAAAGCAAAACAGTGAAAAAAATTCTCTTTCGATGCCTCTTTTATAAAACACCAAATACAGGGGATTTTATTTTTATCACACAAAATGCTGCTAGGCACCTGAAAAAATGACCGTTCGCCACCGTCTCCTCTCTATCCTCGCCGCATTCTCTCTCTTCCCCATCCTCGCCACCCCAATCAACCTCATCACCGGATCCCAATTCCTCACCGTCGACCGGACCCTCGTCTCCGCCGGCCAGGAGTTCGAGCTCGGGTTCTTCCCCTCCGCCCAGTCGAACGGAACCTGGTACGTCGGAATCTGGTACAAGAAAATCCCGGAAAGAACCGTCGTCTGGGTCGCCAACCGGGACGCCCCCCTCCGGAGCTCGTCGGGGTCTCTGAGACTCGATGCCGGCGGCAATCTGGTCCTCCTCGACGGGGAACGGTCAATCTGGTCAACGGGTAATCCGGGAATGGCCGCGGACGCCGTCGCCGAGCTTCTCGACACCGGAAACCTCGTCCTCCGCAGCCGCACTGCTCCGGCGGGCGACTACCTGTGGCAGAGCTTCGACCACCCAACCGACACGCTGTTGCCCGGAATGAAACTAGGCTGGGACGCCAAATCGGGCCTCAACCGCAACATCACCTCGTGGAGAGCCGCCGACGACCCGTCGACCGGCCACTACACCTTCCGGCTGAACACCAGCGGGTTCCCGGAGATCTTCCTATCGGACGGTCGTTCCGTGGTCTACCGGAGCGGGCCGTGGAACGGGCTGAGGTTCAGCGGCGTCCCCGAGATGAACGCCAGCCCGCTGTTCTCCTTCGTGTTCGTCGCCGGGCCGGAGGAGGTGTACTACACGTTCCGGCTGAACGAGAGGTCCGTCTACTCGCGGCTGGTCGTCAGCCACGCGGGGGCCATCCGGCGGTACACATGGGCCCCGTCGATCGGGCTCCGGTGGAACCTGTTCTGGTACGCGCCCAAGGACCAGTGCGACGGCTACAGGGCGTGCGGGGCCCACGGGATCTGCGACGCGAGCGCGTCGCCGGTGTGCCGGTGCCTGACCGATTTCCGGCCGAAGGACGAGCTGGCGTGGGGGCTGAGGGACGGGTCGGGCGGGTGCGTGAGGGAGGTCGAGTTGGACTGCCGGTCGGACGGGTTCTTGAGGATGGGGAACGTGAAGCTGCCGGAGAGCGGGGCGGCGGTGGTGGACCGGGCGGCGAGGCTGGACCGATGCCGGGAGATGTGCCATGGGAACTGCAAGTGCAGGGGGTACGCGAGCGCCAACATCAGCGGCGGCGGAGGGGGGAGCGGGTGCGTGATGTGGGCGGGGGATCTGTACGACATGCGGCAGTACGCGGCGGCGGAGGGCGGACAGGATTTCTACTTGCGGGTGCCCGCCGCTGATTTAGGTATGTGTGAAATTTGGAGATGAAAAGTCGGTTATTTTATTTTATTTTTTTGTTTTGATTTTAATTTGGGGCTAATTTTGGGGAAATGCTATAATTCCGAATGCTATAATTTCGTTACAATTCCGAATGCTATAATTTCGTTACGGAAACATTCCGTCGAAGTTTGTAATCGTTAGATTATCATGTAACCGTCGGAAATAGTTGATCTAACAGTTACAAATCTCGACGGAATGGTTGGACCGCATTATCTTTCCTGATTTTGTGTGCTATAGTTGATTTTTTTGAAGATTTGGTTAATTGAATGAGGTATAATGACTTGGAAGTTATGTTCTGTGTATACTTTTTGAAAAGTGAATGAATTTAGGGTATTTGATAGGTCTTAGGAGCTTTTTGTAGAATGCATTTAGATTTCAATAGTGTTGGATAATATATTTTTCAACAAATTCACATATTCGTAAGTTGAAATTTCATGGGATGAAAATCATTAATAAAAGGATGAAACTTCGTATCATTAGTATAAACTTTTATCGATTCTTCTAACGATTAGACGACCTCATATAATTTTTTTCGTTTAACTTCTTTAGGTCATATCTGATTAGGACGTACATTGGAGAAATACACATTTAGGCTACCTAGAGACACCTTGACTTCGCCTTAAATGGTTCGGTTTTAAAGTTAGGTCGAGACAGAAGTTGTTGACAACTCGGAATCGAAGTAATAAGTGATAATTAAATGAGCGCTAACTTTTTCTAGGGTTGTTGCATATATCATATTTATGGTACCTTTAGGTGATTTTCATGAATTACTTTACACCGAAATGGTAATACAATTTTAAAAGTATGAGATTTTAGTTTACACTTGTGCATATATGTTGAAAAAGTATGAATATCGAACAACAAGGGTTAAATGGTCATTCCATCGTTTCCTCATATTTATTTATTTCTTTCTAATTTGGGGTATGGTCCATAGTTTTTATGCTACATGTGAAAGTGAAATTGAACATCAAACAAACACAGGACAGCTAAAGAACAGTTAGGTTGAGAAAGACTTAAATGGACTTCAAAATAATCAAGACTGTTAGGTGTGTGTTTGGTAGAGAAAGTAATATTGTAATTCTCTATTCTATATTATAGTTCGTGAGAAGCATGTAATTTTTTTTTTTTAACATTATTCTACAAAACAAACTGATGATGCGGATAGATTAATTATTATTATTATTATTATTATTATTATTATTATTATTATTATTATTATTATTATTATTATTATTATTATTATTATTTAGTATGATTGGTGAACAAGTTAGGTTTAGGGCTTTAGAAGTCTTATTTAAAGACTCCTTTTTTGTTATTGACAATTGATTTTGAATAAAAATATGAATTGATCGTGGGTATTACGTATTTTACCAGAGAGTATCTCGTGTACTCGTTTTATCCTTTCCTATTTGTACGCTTCCCTACATCACAAACAAACAAATCATACACAGCTTATGTAAGTCAAATGGACCGACCATTTTTTGTTAGATAATTATTAATCAAATGCAATTAATCTTCCTCGTGAATCTTTAGTAATTCTCACCCACTAAAATACAGTTGTCCCAGCTGATTATATATCTGTACATAAACATATCTTTGGTGAGATATTTGAGTATGTTAATAAATTATTAGATACCAGTAATGTTAAGGAGTCAACAGTTGGCTCCGTTATAGAGCCAACAACCAATTGGATAACTCCTCGTGAGGCTGTCCCACATTAAAGTATTGTGGGCCCCACCTGAAGTTGTCTCATTGGTTGTTGGTTCCGTAACGAAGCCAACTGTTAGCTCTTTAGCATTATTGGATTAGATACATAGGAATTAATCTCCCTATCTTTTTATTTACATTGTATTTTTTTTTTTTTTT